GCTCAGGTATTCTCAAGAACTCATCCGCGCGTTCTGCGCAAGCTGCCAACGGAACAAAACACATACCTGCATGCGGCCCGATAACGATGCTTATATTGATAACGGAGCTCCCGAATCTGTGCAAGATACCTTTTCCTTGCAAAATGTTTTTTAATCTGCACAGTAAATGAAATTGAAAAGTTACGAAACTTCCACCGGCTTTTTGACTCTAGAATTTTCGTCGACGACTTGATCTCTAGGAATCCTGCCGGCAAGACATTCCACTGGCGTTCTAGCATTGGCCTTTTCACGTTGAAACGAATAAAATTTAGCATTATTCAAACATGAAGATGAACTATCAGACCGACTTATATACTTCAGGTTGAAAACGAGAAAACAGCGTAAGTTGGTTTTACAACCGGTGCCAACATAGTAGTACGTCAGTTCTCTAACCTACGTTTTGCATCCCAACAATTTAGTTGCTGACCGACCACAACCTGCTGACCCTCAGATCGGTTTTCGACAATTTTTCTGCCCGAAGCTCTGTTGACAAGAACGAGGACTCAATTGTGGCAGGACTTCAAGCCCGTGCTTTAAACTTTAAATGTAACTTAAAATGTGCTTAATTTTATTCTAATTTGTCTACTGCCGGGCTGTACAAGTTCTCGTATCTACCCGTTGCGAATACGGGACGTACCTAAGCGTACATCCGTCCCGAATCTTTTCATGGGTATCCTGGTACGCGAATAAAAAACCACGATACCGTTTCGCGTGCCTGATGTTCCGGGACGGTTGTGTACTATGCGGGAGCTAGTTTTGCTACAAAAATGAGATCTTCCTTAAGACGGTTTAGTTATACGTTAGCTGCACGTCGAGACGGGGCGACGTTGTGCTATTCGAAGTGACGGTCGTCGAAATGACGATCACTGTTACAGCCATCCCTAACGGCTAACACCATTGCTTATTAAGCCAACGAAATTCTATGAAAACTTTCTGGCAGCATAACACAGTCCTAGCCTACCGGATGGATATTAGGATCTATTCTCTAAGCTCCGTATTTCGCTGGATCACTGTTCGCGGTACCATTTATTTCAGCTTTCATTCAATTGTTTCTGGCCTGCAAGGTCAGCGCTCTTCAAAACTAGTGCGATGGAAGCCAACGTGCCACGTGTACAACCGTTGTTTAAAGCAAACGCTGGCAGATGCCGGAACCGACGGCAGTAAGTTATCCACGCATTCCTTCCGGCGAGGTGGTGCCACAGCAGCAGCCAAATTCGTAGCATCGGCAGCGGTAATTAAAGCGCAAGGCAACTGGCGCAGCAGGTGTTATGAGAAATATGTCAGTTTGGATAATCGCAGACGAGAGGAATTCGCGCAATGTATGGCAGCAGTCGGATCGCAAGAGCGATTTGGGGGTTTGGAGACGTACCTGCCCTGTGCAGGCGTTCTTTTGAAGTTTGTGCTATGTAGTTATTGGTTGCAGTCCAGTTGTTTGTTCGTTTCCGGTGGACAAATTCGTCCGCCAGGGATTTTGTCAATAAAATCCACCCCCCATGCGCGGCAACGTTTTATCGATATAATACATTGGAGTTAGGCACAGTAATAAATAGCAGTAGCAAGTAGAGTAATTACTCTGCTATTATACTGATTGTTAAACTGGGATATGAAGGGCACAAGTGGTGTTAGTGGTCAAATAAATTACACATATAAACAGTGGTAAAATACAGTGCAGTAAATAAACTAATACGGATAGTTTACATGTTGAAAAAGCGCAGAACGGCAACAAAACTGGAAAGAAGAACAACTTCTAATAAACTACAGAAAGCCTGTTCAGTAGATGCACGAAATTTTGGTAAATGATTGGTTCCTGATCCGGAAATTCAGAAATAGATCGGAAACCAAAGAAAAAAGTTATCCGCTTTTGGGGAAAAAATTCCGCGTTTCTGGTTTAAGGTCGCCTCTGCAGTCAGTTAAAGAGAGGCAAATTTCCAGTAGATATTAACGCCAACTATGCAGTTTCACCGGTATTATTTGCACTGGGTTATGATTTTGTCCATCGCATTAATTATTCCGCGCAATTCGCGCGGGGTCTTCTAGTAAACTTTAATAAAGGTGTTATACAGTACAGTATGATAGAATAATGCTTCTGTACACTTTCAAAAAACACGGAATGTATGCACGAATTTTAAAAGAAAGGTTATACCGATGCACCATAAAAGTTAAAACTAATTGTTTCTTGCATGTTTCGATTCCCGTTTAAAAGCGTTACCGTTAGCATTGCTGATTTATATTTTGCGATTTGCAACGACACCGTTCAATTTTTATCTAAATGCACAGTATTTTTGCCGTTTGTCAGTTACTGGAAAGTGGAACAACAGTACTTTAAATAATAACTGTTTCTTTAAAATGTCGTTGCGTAATTATAAATCATTTAAGCTTAAGTAATACACAATACATATTTATTCAATTCATGTTCATATAAAATTCATGAAAAATTAAGCGAACTTGGTAGTTGTGGAAGCACAACGATGATGTTGTCATCACAGCCCTTAGGCAGCCAAGTTGGGCCAGTTTTTACAAAAAATTACTATAGGCCAGTCGTCAACAAAACAAATAGTTACTTAACTTTTACATGGTTGCCGTATGTGTCCAGCCCCTATTATACTATAAGTTTCGATGTTGAGACCATGTTACAAATTGCACTTAGTTCAGACTTAAAGCAGACCTATTTAAAAATGCGCCCCGAAGCATCCGCCGTAGAATTCTTCCTGGCAACTGAAATTTGATAAAAAATTTTATTGATAGTGTAAAAAAGTGATAAACCTGGACTGTGACCCAACTAGTCCTGCTAAGTAATACACCTGTCAAAACTCCATACGCCTGACGCCTGTGTACCTTTACAATTTGAATGGGGGCATTGTCGAAGTTGTCGCTTTTCAGCCCGCCAAGCAGTGTCGAAACATCAAAAATTGCCCTTTGTGATAAAACACGCCCAAAAGGTACAGGATGCCATCTCTGCCTTGTTCATTTCAAAACAAACCAAAGATGTCTTGTTTTGAAATGAAGTACAAGTACGTGAAAAAACAAAAACGGCTGAAAGCAATATTTTGTAATTTAGTTAACACAACTGCCCCAACTTCACTGCCCAGGGCTGTACATGCGTTTGGTTTTTCAATTCGGGCAATATTAATTAATTTTATTTAAGCACAACACTGACTCTGATGATTGCATAAATTTGCCCATTGGACAATCTGAAAAACACATCAGCGAAGCAAAAATTTCAAACCACGAGTGCCCAAGACCACACCGAACCACTTCCGAATACGACAACACTCAACCGACTCTGAACACGACCTCTGGACTATATGGACTACAGAAACTACACCGGACTACACCGGACTACAGGGACTAAGGAGACTACACCGGCCTGCAGGGACTACTGAGACTACACCGGACTACATGGACTACAGAGACTACATGGACTACGGAGACTACACCGGACTACAGGGACTACGGAGACTACACCGGACTACATGGACTACATGGACTACATGGACTACACCGGACTACAGGGACTACGGAGACTACACCGGACTACACCGACTACAGAGACTACACCGGGCTACAGGGACTACGGAGACTACACCGGACTACATGGACTACAGAGACTACACCGGACTACAGGGACTACGGAGACTACACCGGACTACATGGACTACAGAGACTACACCGGACTACATGGACTACTGAGACTACACCGGACTACATGGACTACATGGACTACATGGACTACACCGGACTACATGGACTACTGAGACTACACCGGACTACAGGGACTACGGAGACTACACCGGACTACACCGGACTACAGAGACTACCCCGGACTACAGGGACTACGGAGACTACACCGGACTACATGGACTACAGAGACTACACCGGACTACATGGACTACTGAGACTACAACGGACTACAGGGACTACGGAGACTACACCGGACTACACCGGACTACGGAGACTACACCGGACTACATGGACTACAGAGACTACACCGGACTACAGAGACTACACCGGGCTACATGGACTACACCGGACTACATGGACTACTGAGACTACACCGGACTACAGGGACTACGGAGACTACACCGGACTACACCGGACTACGGAGACTACACCGGACTACAGAGACTACCCCGGACTACAGGGACTACGGAGACTACACCGGACTACATGGACTACAGAGACTACACCGGACTACAAAGCTCTGGGATTGCGGCGTTCTACCTAGACTGCCGAGGCTACAGGAGTCTACGTGCGCTACTGGACTACTCGTTAAAACTGTGATCCAGAAAATAGACGTGTACGAACTGTGCCATATCTAGATTTCTGCGAGATTTTTGTTTATCGGTAAATGGCTGCATCACGACACTTAAACCGACTAAATTCAAATTCCTACAGATCGGCCAGCGTTATACCGTAAGTACACAGTTTTGGCAGTTAATGCCGTTCGTTAGCATCCAGCACATCCAAAAACCTGTGTAATTACTAGATTGTCATCCAGATACCCGACGAAAATATAAGTTTTCTTTTGCAAAATAGCGTTTTGTTATTGCATGTCAAAATCTACTGCGGTGTTTACAAAGTGCAAGAACCGTCTGTTAACCACCCACAATCAACGACAACGAATAAACGATTAGAAAAGTTGTTAGCACTTGCGCGGCTAATATTTCAGAGGAGGGAATTGCGCATATGGACGTGTACGTATATATACAGAGGTGTAAATCTTTTACGCTTGTGGAGCGTTTTCTTTAGCTACTTTTTTGAGATTTCATTTTTCTACAATTCAGTATTTTGCCATGTGCAGTAAATGTAAATTTAGGAATCCAACAATGGTTTTACCGTAACTTAACCAAACCTCAAGTACTAAATCATCTTGCGAGCAACCTCGCGTGGCAGTACTGTGCAGTAATGCAGTATCCTTCCTCTGAAATATTCTGTACCCATGCGCACCATAATTGTCCACATTCCCATGCCTACTGTTCATTGCGCTTTCCAAAGCAAAAGTATGAACTAAAGAATATCGAGGAAGCAATGTTGTGCACTACAAATAACAATGCCGATGTGATAATGTCCATGCACGACAGTTACACGTCAGTTTTGCTTCATGATCATGACTAGAAGTATAAAAAGCGCCGACGTCTGTTGCTACTAAGAACAATCCATCTGGCATCCACCCACTGCGGTAGACGGTAGTGCAGAATTCGAAAAGTGACCAAATATTAATTGAAAACAGTTCTCCCGATTATTTCATGAAAATCATCAACACGACAAGCGGGATCGTTAGCATCACAGCGCCAGCGGAGATGGTATTTCCAGAGTTGCACGTTACACCTTTGCAGATGCATACAGTTCCGTTCAGTCCAAACCATTGCGTTCTACCAAGCACTTGTCCAAACATTTTGATGTTGTCATCGCAGTAGTTGTCACTAGCCGGAGGGATGCGGCCGAACAGGAGCTGGATCAACGCAGGAGTGCCGCAATCGTAAAAGGAACCGCCTACAACGCGAAATAAACAGTTTGACAAAGGTCACTGTTGCACTGTTACTCGTAATTAGTTACGATTAGCATACTTTTTATATACAGTAGGTAACATGAATGCAAAACGCAACGTTCCAGTTGAAACGCGGAATCTCAATGGATCACTTCAAACTCAATCAGAGAGAGATAAGTAACGTAATGATACACATTCAGTTATACAGTATAACAATGTTATTTTGTAGCCAACGAACTGTATCGATAGTACGGGTAAAAACTCGCCTGATGACGTTCCCGAGGCTCCGCTAGCCTGTGTGGAGTAACTCCAGTTGTAAGCACCGTCCGTTTTCAAACAGTATTCGGTACCCGTTGGACACGTGACGTTGACGGCCGTGCTGGGAAGGCAGTCACTCAGCATTCTACTGGTCTTCAGAAAACCATCCGTACATTGATTACAGTTGAGCGCCAGTCCTGTAATTTGACAGTCGGTTCAGCATTGTGCAACATGCAGTTCCACTTTATGCTACACTTTAGCGTCCACACCTGCCGATACCAAAACCCCCGCTACGAATAAGCATCCTAATCCGTTTCGCAGCATGATCAAATGCTTGTTAGAAAAGCTTCCCGTTAACTGCACTTTCGAACGTAATACCGACTGTCAACTGACGTTGGAACTTGGAAGGCGGTTAACTGTAGAAGTAAGTGGCATGCGGTATTCGATTTACAGTTAGCGCTTTCTTCCGGCAGCTGCATGCCTGCTTATCGCCAACGACGCCAAGCACACGAGTGGCAAAAGGAGTAGAAAAACGATCTGAGATTATCTTGTTGTATTGTGTAATGTTTTGTTTATTACTGTCAAATGGAATAAGTGCATTGTTGGGCCTATTTATCCCGCAGATGGTCCAAGTAAACGTACAATGCTATCTTTCCTGCGCTGAAATCTGTGCAGATACAGCCAAATTGGGGGCAGACAAATTGACACTCGCATAATGCGACTGGCATAACCTTATCCGTCGGTAAATTGCAGAATGTGCAGAACTGCAGAATAAATTGCAGAATGTGCAGAATAAATTGCAGAACTGCAGAATTACCTGTAGAAGCAGCAGAGCCAACCATGTCTGACATAACTTTAAGGGAATTTACCAACATGAACAATTAGTCACTTGTCAATGTTTCGAACGAATTCTTATTTTAATTATTATGGCAGTCACCAAAGCACATTTTTGCGCAATTATATTTTTGTTAATCTATCGTTCCAGGCTATAGCAATGTAAAAAGTTTAGGTAACTGAGTATAACGCTGAAATGTAAGCCGGACGGTTCGTCGACAAGCACGATCATTACTATTACCACTAGCGTTGTACTGTAATTGTTTGGGGTGTGGACAGGGGGAAATGCCGCTACGAGCGTGTCGGGAAGATCTTCAGCTATGTTTAGCGTAGCATACAATCTACCCAACTCAAATGCCTCAGTGTCGCTCTAAAGTCGTACAGACTCAGTTGTTCATTCAGTCTTACCAGAATAAACAGCTCAATCCGCACTATTGTAGAGCGGCAATAAATCCCATAATCCCTTCCGGAGTACATTACAAGTATTCGAATATGAGGGGGAAAGCCAGTCTACGCGAATAGTCTCCTGTATACTCTTGCTGCAATAATCTGTATTGTAAACTTTCTACTGCCGGTATGTATTTAATGCGAAATACATAGACAATTTACAATACAGACTGCAGCACCCAATACAGTACCAACCGGTTCAATTTAATCGCGGTTATAAGCATCTACCCGTGTAGTCGTCTCTAGGAATAGCAATCGTAAAATTCGCCGACTGTAAATCAGCAGACACATGCATGCTTTTTCAAAGGTCAATACGGTACCGTGTTAAATGTTCAGCGTAGGCTAGCATCACGCATGTCAAAACAACAGGTACAGTATGTTGGAACATGTTAAAAGCGATGTACAGAGTACTATTTGTAGTACTACATTGTAGTTCGGGCAGGTAATAATATCAAGGGAAGTGACCTTTAACCTCTAACTTTTTTCTAAAATTCATTAATTTTAAAGTCTGAGAACACGCTAGGGTAGTATAGTGGATCGATGTAAGAACGAACTCCATGCGTATAAGCGTTTCCATTCGAAATACGAAGAAGATCGATCCATAATAAGAGTTTTGGTACAGCTCAACGCATTTAAATTTTGGGAAAGTTTTCACGCCAATGTATAGAAATTACTTGGCTTTAAAGTTTCATAAAACAATCCAAGAAGTGCGTGGAAGTGCGTGAAAGCGATAGTTTTCGTGCATGCACACGCATTGGTACCATGTAGCGGGTCACTTCCCTTAAAATTGTAATGTGTTACGCGTACGTATTCAGTACTGCATCGGCTCCAGTCTACAGATTAGTTCGTAAGCAATGAAAATTACGGTTTTCCCTCATTTTGAGATAAGCCGTATACTTCTATGAGTGGACAGTCTCACCTGCTGCCCATTCAAAGCCTGGGTCGGACAAATTGTACAAGTGAAGACCATCCGTTTTCAAGCAGTGCTAGGTACCCACGAGTATGTACTTTTTTTATCGCGTTCGTTGTGTTGCTTACGATTTTTTTCTCTGGGATGGAGCGCAAACTCGCCATTCGCTCTTCACCAGAATATGATAAGTAACACATACAGAGTACACCCACACAGTAACCAGCTATAGCGGCGCATATCTGTAGCGACACTGCATCGCGATGCTTTGCATTTACGGCAGTCGGAAGATGGTTCCGTGACTTCCGCCGCGAAAAAGAAGCTGCGTAGCACCTAATCCCGATCCCGTCTAATACGGAGTACGTAAGACTGGTACGTATTTTCCGGCGTTTGAAGTGCTCTCATTGTGCTGACACCGCTTTCAACTGGTAATAAAAACAATTTAAAACTGCTTCTGTTGTCAATGTCGTTTGTGCCTTGTTGTCATGTAATTTTATCACTGCGCGTACATTTAATTCGCACACTGCTATAAGAAACTATGTACTACGGAATAATAGTAGAGCAAGTAGCTACTTTATTGTTGAGTGAATAAAAACCATTATTCTGAAAGGGTCGGTCATCAATTAATACGCACGAGAAAATAACAGTGATTTGTCTCCTGATGTGATACAATGAATAAATCACGCTTTCAGATGAAAGAACCAATGCGCAGCAGAAAGCTTTATATCACAAATATACGAGTACAATACACACTAGCCAGTTCAGATACAGCAGTATACACAAGCCAATGTTCTTCTGAAAATAATTTATTTACTGCAATATGGTGATTCGAGATTTAATCACCAGCCAAACATTAAACTAGATTAATATTCTAGCCGAATTATTTCATGAAAAACATTACACTGAGTACAGCCGGGATCATCAGCATCATAGCGGTAGCCGAGAACGTATTCCCAGAGTTGCACGTTACACCTTTACACAGGCACACGGTCCCGTTCAAGCCAAACCACTGACGATCCGTTATGGTATCCAATAATTGTCCATACATTGTGACATTGTCGTTGCAGTAAACGTCGGCATCTAGACGTATGTCGCCGAGCAGAAACCGGATCATCGCGGAGTGCCGCAATCCAAAAATTTGCCATCTATCAAATTAAAACACATAGTTTTCAAAGGTCACCGAAGCATCCTTAATGTTAAGTTGTTACTGTACTCTCGACTCACGATGTCTCCGTTTTGTATGGTCTTTCCATGCAACACTATACTGACGTCACGGAATTCATTGGGTTCGGTCTTTTAGGCTTAATGAACCGTCTGAACAGCTTGAACCCTTCCTTGAGTACTCCAGTAATCGAAATCAGACGGTTCTTTGGTAAACCAAAGAACCGTCTGATTCTTTCACTTAAAACTCCCACTTTGACTTTTGTTTTGATTTAAATTTTAATTTATTTTTCGGAACTCCTTTCGACATTACGAAAATAAAATTCATTATTATCACCGTGGAAAGAAACTGAAAATTTAGGCTGCGAAATCTCACGGAAAAAACTGAACCGTTACTGTTCAACGCGCTCGAAAACCGATCGTTAGCCGTTAATTTGACGGGTATTACTGCCAATCACGCTTATTGGCGGATTTATGTTCACCGGATTCAGCGAGTGTTTTTGAACCGCGCAGTGCATGACTGGCTATACTTTACAAAACCGGGACATATTGAACCGAGAGTACAGTAATCACCAGTTCACTGTAACGTCTAATCCCAAGCCCAAACAGCCAGTTAGCGGGAGTCCAGTTTGATTTATTCGATCCCAGGATGATACTTAAGCAGCGGTGTTCAATATTCGGTATTAGGCATTATGGTGCTATTTCGTTATCGGATTCTCCGGACAAAAACAAACTCACCTGATGACGATCCGGAGATCCTGTTAGACCCCGCGACGTAGCTCCAGTTGTAAGCACCGTCCGTTCTCAAGCAGTACTGGGTATCCGTGGGACACGTGACGTTGTCGGCATTGCTGGGGCTGCAGCCAGCCAGCGTTTTGTTGGATCTCAGGAAACCGTTTCTGCACTGATAGCAATTAAGCGCCAGGCCTGTGAAGTACTAGTCCGGTCAGCTTTTTTGGGTGTATACACTGCTAAAACTGTTATACACACCCTAATGAAATCATCCCTGTCTTCTACGAGTAGCAGTTGCATACTTAAATCACATTATGCCGCAACGTCGTACTTTGGGATAGCGGGAATATTCAATATTCCCGCAAGAACACGAAATATTCAATTGCGCCGTTCAAAATGTTTTTTTGCCATATGTGCGATGTTTTCCTTACTTACCTGTCGACGCCAAAACTCCTACTACGAACAAAATTCCTAAACCGCTTCGCAGCATGATGGTCTGATAGTTGAAGCTTTCTCAGTTTTAATTTTATAAAAGGCGTAGCGGCGCAGACTTTGAATAAGTGATGGTAATGACTAGTGATCACTTGGTTATACAAATTTCTGTAATTCGATAAGACGTGAAACACCGGTTAACTGCAAAAGTGGCCAAATAAATACGAATACAATATATGTATCATAATACAGACACCTACACATCGCATACAGACTCATAACGGTTTTTACCGGTAATGTTACGTCTGTTTATCGTCAAAAGAGTTCCACGTAAATTTACAATGACATCGTTATCTTTCCCCGGTGCTCAACCGTACAGATAAAGTATGGATAAATAATTGATTATTATTACTAATATTATTATAATTACATCAAGAGAGGCAACCCGAATAACGGGACTTCAACGTCTGGTCGGTATTATCAGTTATCATGTTACCACGTTGTTACTGTTATTCCGCTATCAGAACTGCACCCCAACAATCGGACATTTACACATAACTGGCTGACAGTTTATTGTCGATAGAGGAAAAAGCCTTGAAAACATCGTGCACTGTTGCGAGCACGGAATGAATGAATAGTAAGTAATCAGTATAATATGTATATGCGACCGCATTTTACTAGTTTACATTCATGATAAACAAAGTTTTTGGCTGCTGTAAAGCATACATTTATTACGAAAAAAGTACATCAGTATAATATTATTGTGCTGATTTAACCAGCTTTTAATATGATTCAAGTTAGTTTACAATGCTATCTTGTAGGTGCTCAGATCGGTGCAGATATGGTTCATGTGGACATTGTTGTTCTATAGATATGCAAAATATTCTGTTCATTGTGCCCAGTTTTGTTCGAAAGCAGAGACAGTAGAGCCAGTTGATGTGTGACATAACAAGAGCAAGTTGACTTAATCAGCAAGAGCAAACTAAACTTATC